CAGTCTGATTTCATGATAAACGATGAGTGGGCTTTTGCGTTTGAGAAATATTAACATTTATCTATGCTTTTTTTTTATTCATTTCAATCAGTTTCAAGTATGAAAACTTTGAAATTTTTATTAAATATTTAGCCATACAGATTCTTCGTTTTTTTTTTTTTTTTCTGAATTGTTCTTTATCTGCTACTTGTTTGCATTTGTCATGTTATTTGTTGAATGTAAAGGTTGATTTTTTTCTTCACTAAAAGTCACAGTTTTTTAAACATTTTTTTCATATTCGATCTGGTCCATTTTTTTTTTTGGGGGGGGGGTCTAGTCTTGGCAGTTTTATCACAGATAATCTTCTTGAATTTTTAATTTGTCTACTGATCTGAGCATTTATTTTATGTGTGATAGGGTGATGATAAGTTTGCGTGAGGTTTTGGAGTGTAGTATTTGATGATTGTAAAATGGTTTATTTGCTGAAAAATAACTTGAATTTTAAAAAAAAGTAAAGTAAAGTATAATGGAAGATATTTTGGCAGCAGTATAGGCAAAGGTGAAAAAATGGTCAATGAAATAATAACGTTCCATAATATAGGTGCTGGAGGTAGATAATATTATTAGCTTTATTTATTACATAGTTCACATGTTAAAAGTCGTTTTTTTTTTCAGTTTTTTTTTTTTTTAAAACTAATAGTGCTGTCTTTGCATCTTAATATAGTTTTAAAAGAAGAAAAAAAAAAAGATGAAAGTTTATAAACAGGGCTTCAACTGTTCGTTCAGGAAAAAAGAGGAAAGAAACGATCATTTGCAATTTTGTTATCTGTTTTCAAACTGTGCTGATTTTTTTTTCCCTAATTTTGGAATCGTTTTTACAGAAAAAAAAAAGTTAGTCACTGATTTGCAGTGTTTTTGTTTATTCATTGGTGATTATTTTGAACGGTATTAGTTTATTTTTGTTGGTCTGTTGAAAAATAGCATCATAAATTTGGCTACGACATCAAAATTGAGAAAAGAATAAAAATTTGTTGATGCCGTTGCAATTTGTTCAGCATTAAGTGCAAGGACTTTAGCGGGGATATCTTAAAATTTTGAATAACCGTATAATTACATCTTCCTTTTTTTGATGACTCTTTTTTGTTCTGCTAAAGAAAAGAAGAAACTAAACTTTTTTTTTTTTTGTTTAATGCTGACACCTTATGCATAAATGATGGCTTTCAGGACCACCTTTTTGAGTCCATTGAACTGGAAACGGTTTGGACCACAGACTTGACACACGGTTTTTGTTTTCTGCACTTCACTGTTGTTATGATCAGTTAATGATCATTTTTAAATGAATTTTATTTTTCATTCTCTTTATTTTCACTCATTTGTTCAAAACATCTGTATATATCAGTTATTCTTTATCACTGCTATACTTTTATCCCTAGTTTTTAGATTTTTATCTTTTTTTTGAGGCTCTAAAATTGAGACATTCATTGCAGTTTCGGGATTAGTATAGATAAGTTTGAGGAAAACTATTAGGAGATGTTTTATTGTTATTTTTTTTTTTTTAACATTTGATTGCTGCTCTTTTTTTTTTGCTGTAATTAAAGCTTCTTTTCTCTGTTCAGCTATACAGAGCTAATTAGGCACAGATGTTTTTTTCAGAAAAAAAAAAAAGAGAATCCTGATTTGTCGAACAATGTTGCAATTGGTGGCTAGAAAATTCAACTTGGATTAGTCCGTTATTTGTTGGCGTTAAACGTTGGGAAAACGAAAGAAGCCTCTTAAGTAGCTTGATGTTAAATTCAGTTACTTGATTTTCGAAGATGTTCTTTCAATCTGTCTACTATTTGTCTTGCTATGTAGATTCGTTATTTTTTTTTTTTTGCTATTTTTAACTGAGCTTTTTTTTTTTGTTGGTATACCTAATGTGGAAAATGCTTGAATTTCTTTGGATGTTTCTTTCTTCTACTATTGTTGCAAAATTGGTTTGATCAAGGAGAAAAGGGAAAAAAAGCTTGTTTTTTGGATGAGAATCTGAATAATGTGTTTGCTTTTTCATCTTCTTTTTTAAGTATTCAAAGATTCCCAATGTGGATTATTTTCTTTTGCTAAATATGAGGAAGATTTTTGTTTCTTGGGAGAAATTGAGATGAATGTTTAATAATTCAACTTTGAGGAAAATCTTAAGTTTTTTTTTTTGAATGTTATTTGGTTCAATACTCAAACTTGTTGTTTTTTTAAGAAACATTTATAACGTTTTAATTTTTTGTTATAATGACCGTAAAATTTGATGCTCTGAGACCTTGAAAAGCTGGTAATTTGTGTGTAAAAATTTGACTATTCGAACATTTAACAATTGTAGGGGGGGAAAAAAATGCGATTTTTTTGGTTTACTAATGAGATGTTTTTTTTTTTTTTTGCTCGATGGAAGGGGGGGGGTTGAAGTGTTTTTTTTGCTCAAGTTTTTTTTTAGAAGATTTTTTTTAAGTCTTAGAATTTCTGGTTTTGGTTCTTTTGGCAACTAGAAACTACAGTAAATTTCAACTGATAACTTTTTACTGCTTTTGTAGTTGTGAGATATTTGTTACTATTTTTAATTGTAATCTCTATCATTTTTTTAATTATTTGTGAATGTTTTTACTCGTTTAGATCACACTTATGCCGTATTCAATGCTGAAGTTTTAAGCAAAAATGTTTTTAGTTTAAGATCCGGTTAGACATATCCTTGCCGTACACCCCCAAATAGGTTTTTACAGTTGTAGATAATAAATTTTTGAAAGTTTGGATAATTAGAGGACAACAAATAAGTGTAAAGAGGTTTTTTTTTTAGCGGTTTAACAAAAGTTTATTATTAAATTTACATAGATTTTCTATAATTTATTAGAGTTTTAAATATTTGGTGTAACGAATATTAATATGTTAGTAATTGTTATGGGGAATTGTTTTGCTATTTTATTCAACAGTACAGTATTTAGGTTAAAAAAAAAAAAAATGGGAATGATGACTTTTTGGATAAATGTATTTTCAAAAAAAAAAAAAAAAAAAAAAAAAAAAAA